GTTCCAGAGGCAATGAAGAAATCTGTCTCAAAAAGAAGGTGGAAGGTCATGGGGATGGCTCATCAGGTAAAGGCATCTGCCGCTAGACCTGATGACCTGTGTTCCATCCCCCAGACCCTGTCTGTGGTGGAAGGAGGTCCTCTAACTTCCACATGGGTGCCAGAGCATGTGCACACATGCATGTGCCCATGCACATACTCACATACATGCATCCATGTGGACACAGGTGCATATGCATAAATAAATGTAATTTGTTTAAAAAAAATGTAGAGCTGGATATGGTGGGGTGAGTTCCAAACCAGCCAGAGCTACACAGTGAGACCTTGTCTCCAAGAACCAAACATAAATAAATCAATAGTTAAAATTTAAAATGTTTTTATTGTTTGTATGTGTAATATGCATGTCTAGAGGCTACAAGTAAATGTTGAGTGTCTTCTTCAGTCCCTATGTACTTTTTCTTTGCCCCCGGGGCAGGGGGTAGCGTTTAGACAGGATTTCTCTGTGTAGCCCTGGCTGCCCTGAAACTAGTCTGTAGACCAGGCTGGACTCAAACTCACAGAGATCCTCCTGTCTCTGCCTTGCAAGTGCTGGGATTAAAAGGCTTACACCACCACAAGTGGCATATATGATATATACATATATCATATATGCCATAACACACACACACATATATATGTATATTGATTTTTAAAAAATCTTGGTGTTTCTAGGGTCAATGAGATGGCTCAGCCAAGTCTGACAACCTTAATTCTATTCAGGACCCACACGACAGAAGGAGAGAACTGACTTCTGCAAGCTGTCCTCTGACCTCCCCAGGCTCACTGTGGCACAAGTATGCACACAGGCATGCACACACACAGCAAACGAGTGTAATAAAATAAGATCTGGGTGCTCCTAAAGCTGGCTTGCCTGCATTGCTGCGAACGACGACAGCAGTTATTGTCCACACTTTCTGCCTCCAGAACCCTGGCTTCGTTTTGGAAAAGCCTGGGGTCTCAGCTTCTCTCTGCAAGCTGCCTTCCAGGCTGCAGCAATTGCTTAAGTCTGTGCTGCAATCCAAAGAGTGCAGGAGTGGGAAGTCCAGAGTTCTCCCTGCTTCTGGGAACAGCCCCCCTCCCCCTCCAGCATTGCCTCCACAGGCCGTCCTCCTGAGAGTGGGTCAGGCTCACCCGAGGATTTCACAAACGCCTGGCCTGTTCCCAGCACAGCACAGCTGGGAGGACTCAGTGTGAAGGAGGAGCATCCTCCTCCACAACCCCTGCTGTCCTTGGGCTCGGGGCCTCTGGGTCTGGAGCCTGGGGACCTAAAAGGGCTGTGCCTGTCCAGGCTTGTCACAGCTGTGGTGAGCTCCAGGCCTTCCCTCCCCACTTCACTTTCCAGCCTGGGCTTAGTCAAGGTGCTAGGAGGAAATTCCCTTTCCAGGAAGAGCGGAAACACAGGCTTGCCTTCCCCAAAGTGAGCAGCAGGTGGGTCACCCAGGAGAACTGGGGATTCTCAGACTGCAAGTTTCCCTCCGGTATGTGATTCACAAGCGCTGCGGTTGGAGTCCAGGAATCAAGCAATTTTTTTTTCTACTCCCCCGGGACCCAGCCATGGTTCTCTTTGCCTTCAGGAGGTCTGGGAGGCATTGGGAGATTCTAGGCAGACTGAAAGGGGGTTTAGGTAGTCTCATTGACTCTGTCTACTCCTTTCCATGACCCTGGAAGGATTGTCCTTGGGTTTAGGGCCCGAGTTTCTCTATCAGAACGTGTGGATTTGTTCTGACAGAAGAGTCAGTCGGGGCCTTTGTCCCTTAGTCTGGCTTTGGGAGTTAAAGAAGCCAGTGCCTTCCCATGGCAAAGTTGTGGATATGTAGGGAACATTTGATCTGATAATGCAACCGGCAGTCCTCATTTATTTAATTTACATGCTTACTAGTTTATTGTTGGCTTTCTCCCACTCAAACTTAACTCCTGGGAAGCAATGGGGAGCCAAACCCCAGCAGGCCTCGTCTTGCCGAACTCCTCCGGACCTAGAACATTCCCTGAAACACAGGATGTGTTGGGCAGATATTTGCTGAGTGGACCAATGAGTGAGTGGCAAAGGGAGGGAGCAGCGGGGCTCCCTGGATGGACGGGGAGGGCAGGCTTTGCTCCATTAGCCTGGAAGGTGTTCTCGGCTCCGGCAGGGCCAGAAAACATGAACCATCCTTAGCCGGGAGGGAAGTCAGGGCGTTCTGTGTCGCCTCCCGGGGGTAAGTGACCCTTGTGACCAATGACGGGCCACCCCCCACCCAACACACACCCAGGGAGGTGCGCCTGACCGCCTCCCGGCCGAGTTTCCTGGCACCAGGCTGAGAATAAACAGCGCTCCGTGCCTGTAATCCTGTTGCCCTGGCGACGGCGCTGAGCGGGAGGGGGAGTGTCGGAGGCGTGGCTTCGTGGAGTGGGCGTGTTGGGAGCGGGGCCTGAAGGGACCGCCCTCCCTGCGCTCAGCGCGGACATTCTTCGCATAGCTGCTCCTGGGCTCCCGCGGTGGCCGGGAAGTGACTCTTCCTGGCAGAGGGCGGCTCGTAGCGCAGAGCCCGAAACAGGAGGAGGACGGGCGGGGCGCATAAAGGGGCTCTGAGAGGGTTCTGCCCACCCTGGGCCTCGGTGGGCACACCTCACGTCGCCGTGCGTGTTGCCCCCTACCATTCCCCAGCCAGGGTTCCTGGGGGCCGAGTCCTTCACCCCCTGTGTCTCTGCCTTACTTCTCAGTACCCCCTTCCTGACTGGTATCTTGACTCACTCTGTACGCTAGGACACTTTCGTGAGGGCTTATTTTCCATCTTCAGCTCCCTGTCGGTGGCCTCCCTCCCTCCCTCCCTCTCTCCCTCTCTCCCTCCTTCCCCACAAGCAGGCCTTGGATTTCCCATTCCTGGCTCAAGTCTTCAGGAGGCCAGCCCAAAGCAGCACCAGCAGGGAGAATGGGGCCTCTCGGGTGGATTCTTGCAGTCCTTGAAGCAGGGTAGAAGAGTCGAGAGGTAGAGAGCAGCCTCCCCAGTTTCTGTGGCTCAAACTACGTGGGATGGCTCCACTCCCTAAAAGCCCTTTATGGAGCATTTTGGAGTCAGGAGCACCCCTCCTCTGGGAACCAGGACCCAGGTGCCCTCTCTAGGTCTTTTGGAGGAGAGTTTTACCCTGGAAGGACTGAGCCACAGAAGGGCTGTTAACAGGAATTGGAGGAAGAGAGAAGAAAGGAAAGACACACTGGCCAGGGAGAGATGGAGAGAGTCACTCACTGTGGCCACTGGTTCACTGTGTGGATGTAAGTTCTGCTCTCCTGAACCTCGTTTTCCTGGTCCTCAGGCTGTGATCTGAGCTGGAGACACAGAAGGCTAGAGATGGCAGTGAGTTGCAGGCAGGGAAAACAAACCTCTTCTTTGTCCTGACTTCCCCAAACCAAACTGAGCGAGCCTCCAGGAGGTAGGCAAGAGATAGGACCCGTGTCCTATGAACGTGGACACGTGGCTAAACAGCCACCTTCTGGGTCAAGGACAGGGGCCAACTGCCTGGCCAGGTTCCCTGGTTCCGTGGAGGCTGTAATTTCCACAAAAGTGACCCTCTGCAGCAAGCAGCAGATGGATGCCACTGGGTAGGCTTTAGGACAAGGAAGGTTTTGAGACACTGGGGACTCTGGGAGAGATGTGAATCTGCCTTACTCTGCAGTCCTGTTTCCAAAGTTGACAGTCCCTCGAGTGTGGGTATGGCATGCTGTCTACATTGGTCTCATGCCTGGCCCAGCTCCTTATCTCTTTAGATCATTTCCCCTCAAGGCCCAGGAAATGGGAAAGAAAATGGTCTTGCTTAGTCTTCCAGTTGCCTTTTAAACAGTTGACTCTTGGAGCAGCTGTTTATCAGGTGCTGTGGGACCAAAGGAAGCTCAGCCTCTTTCAGGCACTTGAGTATCAGACAGGGAGGCTGAGGAGCCCCCAAGCTGGAGGTCACACTCTTCTCAAAGCTCTTCAGGTCTGGGTAGCAGAAGATCTCACAAACGGTGTGGTGTTTGTGTATGTATGTGTGTGTGTGTGTGTGTGTGTGTGTGTGTGTGAGAGAGAGAGAGAGAGAGAGAGAGAAAGAGAGAGAGAGAGAGAGAGAGAGAGAGAGAGAGCGTGCAGTGCATTTGGCTTTTTAGGAGACAATGTGGGGAGTCAGTACCCCCTCAGTACCAATCCCTTATTGTCCCCACATTCCTGGGTGTTGTGTCCTTGGCAGGTTGCTTAATTTCCCTGAACCCGCATCTGGCCCCACACTCAATGGATAAATATTTACCCTTCACCTTTCTAGGCACCAGAAATTACGAATCCAAGCTGTGCTGACTCCTGCTCACAAAGAAGCATAGCTGTGTCTCACGCAAGTGCCCGAGACGGCCTCTCCAGGGCCCAGGTGCAGGACTTAAAGGTGAACAGATGGGTCTTTTCCAGGAGCCTGGCTGGTGCTCCATGGCCCAGGCAGGAGCTTTAAGGCTACAAGATGAGTGTATGGGGGAGCAAGGCCATCAACACCTGTCCCAGGGCCCCACCTGCTTTCCAGCCTTGTGTGGGGATCACCCTCCCCCCTACGTGCTGTGACATCTGTGACGCCGTGCTGAGGTCACAAGTCACCATCAGGACCCCACATCTAGGCTTTCTCAGAACACCTCCCTGCCAAGCAGCCCAGCCAGAGAGCACTAATAGCCTGGAGCCTCTAACAGCTCCTGACCACAGTGCAGCCTGCCCCCTGCAAGCCCTTTGAGGCCCGCACTTCCTTAGCAAACTTGCTTTGCATATTCTGGTCAGAGCTGAATCAGACTGGCAGGAATTAACCATCAGTAACAGTCTAGGTGGCTGCCCTAGCCTGCCAGTGACACAGGCGGGCTGCCGGTGACGGTGACGTGAGAGCACCTCTGAGTCTACCTCAGAGCTGTGGGCAGGGACCCAAGAGGCACAGCCAGCCCCCTCCCCTCATTCCATGGTCAGGGAAAGAAGGCTCGAGTCGTGCTTTTCATTAAAAAATAGTGCTCTTTATTATAAATTACTGAAATGTTTCTTTTCTGAGTATAAATATAAATATATGTGCAAAGTCTGAGTTGAACTGGGATTTGGTTGAGTTTTTCAAGCATCTTCAAACAGCCTCGAAGGCCTGAATGGGGAGAGGAGCGGACTGGAGGTGGATCTTTATAAAAGTGATTGAGGCAAATTGTAAACATTATTCAAAACAACACAGAGAGAAAAAGCCACCCCAACACACAGCTGCCCCACCCAGCCCCATACCTGACTCAGAAAACTTGGTTGTTTCTCCCCTAAACAAGACCAGTTCCAGGTAATTCCATGGCTGCTGCATTCCTGTGAGTGGCCACTGTTGAGTGGCAGATGAAGGTTTCTCCATCACCTCCTGCCTCCCCCCACCCCAGGTGAGAAGGGAGCGCTGTGCAGGACCTGGAGGGCCCTGGGACCGGCTGATTCCGCTGACCAAGAGGTGCGGTGCCTAGGACTGGCCAAATTCTTCCCAGGGACCACTCAGGGTCTCCTCCCTGCACCCACTTCCTCTGGCCTGCAGCCACTGGAGAATCCCTCAGCTCCTCCGCCTGTTGGCTGTGATTGGCTCCTCATGTGCCAATCCCTATCCATGGGACAGAGGGCATTTAAGGCAAGTCTCCCAGCCTGACATAGGAGAAACAAAGAGTCCCCCATCTTCTCTAAGGAAACCTGGGCTCCAAGATGGCTCATCTGTTCATCTGCCTCCCTCTGGTGTTGGAAAAGGTGGCCAACTGACCAGCCCCATCCATCTCCCTCCCACATGCCATTGACTCTTTGCAACCGGGAGGACTCTGGGAGGTTTCACTAGCTGCCCCAAGGGAGAGGAGCCTGGCACCAGAATGGCGCTCTTCAGGTCACCCCTTGCCTCTCTCCCTAGAGCCGGGAGCCACCACTCCTCACCTAGGCTGGGTAGTGGAGTGGTCATTTCTTTGGCCAGCCTGCAGCCAGCCCTCCGCACGCCCTCTTCTCTTCCATCTTTCCCCCAGGCCTGGCGTCTGCTCAGGATTCAGCCAAATCCAAGCGCAAACAAGTTCCGTGGGAAAGTTTGAAGATTCCCCTGCGGTTCTCATTAGTTCAACACTCGGAGGTGTCCTCCCTCCCTCCCTCTGCTCCCTGGGGAAGCAGAGGGGGTGTGGAGGAAGGGAGGAGGTGAGGAGAGTCACTTGTCAATGCGATTGTCCCACCGGCCAACTGGATCCTCTTGAGAGGAGCTGGGGGGTGGGAAAGCAGGTGGCAACTTCCCCTCCCCTCACACATTCCAGGTCCTGTCTGTCCCACTTTGCAAAGCCAGGGGCCTGAGGAAGAAGCCTACCTGCCCCTGACTCACTGGGAGCTACCGAGCATTGGGGCTGGATTCTTGTGCTTGTGCCGTGTGCCGCGGAGGAGAGGCGACCGACCCAGGCCCTCCTCTGACCCCTTCGCTCTTTAAAGTGGAGCATCGTACTGGTCCAGGAACTCCCGAATGGGTCCAGGCAGCTGGGTCACTTTCTCATAGGAGTCCAGGTGGCCGTTGACCGTCTTCCTGCAGAGATGCTGGAGAGTGGCCACGTTGGAAGAGAGAGGTCGGCTCAGTACCAGCGGAATCTTCTCGCCCCCAGAATAGATGTAGTAAGCTCTCTTGGGGGTACTCCCGGGGAGCGCCTGGGCAGGTGGCTGCTCCGGCACCTCGGAGGAGGGTTCCGTGGGTGGCAAGGAGAAGGAGGGGGCGCCCGGGGGCGGCATGTAGTGGTGCACCAGCTTGAGTACACAGTCAAATCGGGGTACTGGCTGCGTGCTCCGGGGGTCACTCTGCAGCGAAAAGCTGCCCCCCTCGCACTGGATACGTAGGTTCTTGGTCCCTGACTGGGTCTTGACGCTCAGCGTGAAGAAGTGGCGCTGGTCCGAGCTGTCGCGGATAAGGAAGGTGCCCGCGGGCTCGGCGCTGAGCAGCAGGTTCGCCTCGCCGCCGGTCACTGCGCTCCAGTAGAATCCGCTCTCCTGCAGCTTACGCACGGCGTTCACCACCAGCTGGTACTCGCTCTTGGAGCTGAAGGTCTTGAGGCGCAGGCTGGTGTCCAGGGGGCGGCTCATCCCGGCGGCGGGAAACTTGCTGTGGGTGACCATGGCGCACGGAGCCAGCGTGGATCTGCGCGGCGGTGGCTGCAGCTGCTTCGCGGCCTCCGCACAGCGGCCGCTACCGCATCCCGGGGGGCTGCGGAGAGGAAAGCGTCCGGCGCGTGAGTGCTCGGAACCCTCCAGTGTGCCCAGCCCTCCAACCTCCGCCGTGCGCCCGGGGCACTCGGCTGCCCCGCAGAAGGCTGTATCTCAGACCCAGCCACCTCGCGGAGCTCTCCCAACCTCGGTCCCTGCCAGCCAACCCCAGACAATCCCTTCCCCAGCGCGCCCTGGAAGAACACCCGAGAGAAACTCCCGAGTGGAAGTTGGGTCTCCAGGAGCACCGCCAGGATGGGGAACGAGACAAGAGCCACAGGGACGCTCAGGGCGTCGCTCAGTCCGGTGCCCTCAGTGGCGAGGACGAAAAGGGGGGTGACAAACCCGAGATATGTGGGAGAGGGGACTGGAGAAGCCCAAGGGCCCTAGTCCGAGTATTACGGGAACCCGGGATCTTCGCCTCTCATCCGCTCTGCCCCCTACCTCGTCCCCTCCCTACCGGGAATGACCCGGGAAGGGGAGGAGAAACCGGGAAAAGCTCCCGAGCTGGATCGAGGCCCCCACCCTTCCCCACACCGCGCCCCTCCTTCCTACCTAGTCCCGAAGCGAAGTCTCCGGCCTTGGGGCTGCTCCTCCTACGGTCCCCAAGGCGAGGCGGCGGCCAGCAGTGGCCCGCGCTGCGCCCAGATGTTGGCGGTCGTGAAGTCCACAAAGGGTTCCCCGAGCGTGCGTCCCCTCTGGCTTCGCTGCCCCCAGGGCCGATCAGGCGCGCCCCGGGATGGATCAGGCAAAGAACCCGGGCGAAGGGCCACGACAGAGAGCTGGGCCGGGCAGGGGGCGTCCAGGAGCCCGGAGAGGCAGCAGTGGTGAGAGCAGGAGAGCCGAAGAGTGTGAGTTAGAGCCGCCGCCGAGGCCGCGCGCGCGGGTATTTACGCGGCCAGCACGCCCCGCCCCCCGATTCCTGGAACTGCCCGGCCGGTCTTCTTGTAATGTTTAGTCACTACTCTGCACTGAAAGGCTGTGCGCGGAGGGCGAGGGAGGGGCCGCGGGCGGCCGAGGGCGGGCCTGGAGCTGGGGCCTCCAGGACCCGCCGAGACTCACCGAGAGGGAGACAAAGCGCGGCGCGAGGCTGCCCGACCGTCGGGCGCGGCGCCAGCCGTGGCCGAGCGTTCCTGGCAGCGGCCCCTCCCCCGCGCGCTCCGCCCCCAACTTCTCATTCACACTTTCCCCCCCACCCCCTCCCTTCTAAGAAGGCTGGTTTCTGGCAGAGGCGGGGGCGCCGCGATGGGAGCGCGCGGGCAGTTCTAGGAGGCCGGCCCGGAGAAGCTCCCGGCACCCCTTCCCTTTTTCTTGGACCCTGCGTGGGGACGCTCCCCTCGCTCCCACCCAGGCCACCCCGAGGTCCTCATTTACAGTTCCAAGCAGCCCCGTGCCAGCCAAAAGGGAAGTAGGGCCATTCCGCAGCCAGCTCACTGGGGACCTAGAAAATGAAGGTGGGGGATGCGCGACACTTACCTGTGGACAGATCCAAAAGATGAAGCTGGGAGATCCAGAAGTGAAGGAGACCCCGCCTTCGACGCAATTGCCGGGCCTCGGCTCACCGGCCCACTGCTTAGTTCCTTGGTGACAGACGTGGGTGCTAATGCTCTTCGCAGGGGGTGGGGGGAAGGTGGAGGAAGCCGCTAACTATCACCCTATCACTCATCTGAGTCTCCCAACCTGCATGGTGAGCTAGTCCGCCCAGGTGCTCTCGGCTCGGCGGGGGAGCTCGAGGGAGAAACCATGACCCCCCCGCCCCGCTCGCGCCCGAGTCCGCTAGAGGGCGCACTGGAGTCTTGCAGGCGAGCAGAGTTTTGCTGTTTCCCAGGCCCTGGAGAAAGAAGAGGTTGTGGGACTCCTTATTCAAGAACAGAAATGGGCAACCTGGAAGAGAGGAGGTTCACCTTCCAGGCCAGGTTCAAACCTGGGATTGATGTCGAATAGGCAGAATGTCCACAGAGCAGTTGTTATGGGTTCAGCCCACTGGCAGGTGGCCACTGAGGTGTTAGGACGGGCCTCACTTGCCTCTAAGTGTTCGAGTGCCTGAACTTTTCCTGGCGGGGGTACTGGTAAGAGCAGGTGACGGAGGTGAAAGGTTGACTTGCTCCTGGTCATTTGAGTACCTATAAAGGCCTGAAGGCAAGTTTTTCAACAGGCAGCAGGATTCTGGCGCCACCTGAGAACCAGCCAAGGGAGACACAGAGTGGCTGCTCTCCCCGGGCTTTCTGGCCCGCCCTCTTAGACACCACAGGCTTTGTGTAATACTAGTTGGAGGGGGGACGAACAGTAGCTTGGGCTTGAAGCGGGGGCTGCCTGCTCCCCTTCCTGGGGAATCGGTAGGTGCCTCAGTATTTTGGCCCACTGGCCCAATATGCTCCCCGGTGCCCGGGACTAATACTCGGGCGGGTGCACAGCCTCTCTGGGCTCGGGCTTGTCCTTGTTAAATAGGAAGGAGCGTAGTGACGCACCCTAGCAATGCCAGTACCCAAGAGGCTTGGGGGCCTCCTTTAGACTATTTCTCAGACGTTGTGCGGACAGACCAGGCATTGTTCACACATGGAGATAACTTGTGAGAGCGGGTCTTGTCTTTAAGACACTTGCCAGAGGCGCCTGAGGTGGATTCTCCCTTCCTCTGCGGACAAGGCCGCCTTCATCTCATCCAGGGAGTGTTACGCAGCTGCGCTGACCGAATGCTTCTGTGCTGAGGGCAGTGGAGGACAGGGAAGACTCTTAGGGAATAGCCCTGGAGTTAATGGATGGGAAAGTGCTTTGTAAATTACCGTGCCTTGACAGAAGTCAAGTTCATTCAGCCATTCCACAACCCCTCATTTTGTGCCTGATTCTGTGGGGCCTGGGCTGAAGTGCTGGGATGCCAGGGCTGCTGGGCTGATCCTGCAGCAGGGAAGGCCATGAGACAGGACTAGTCAATGACTGTGACCCAGTGAGACGCAGTGATGGTTCCTGGGGTCGGGTAAGAGGGAAATAAAGAGACTGGAGAGCTGGCTTCGCCCTTCAGAGCACATGCTGCACTTCCGGAAGACCGGATTGGCTCCCCGCACCCATGTAGGAGGGATCTCTCTCTCTCTCTCTCTCTCTCTCTCTCTCTCTCTTTTGTTTTGTTTGTTTTTTCAAGACAGGGTTTCCCTGTGTAGCTCTGCGCCTTTCCTGGAACTCACTCTGTAGACCAGGCTGGCCTTTGAACTCACAGAGATCCGCCTGCCTCTGCCTCCCGAGTGCTGGGATTAAAGGCGTGCACCACCACCGCCCGGCTGTAGGATGGATCTCAACTGCTTCCTGGGAACCTGCACTCATGTGCACATGCCACCCCCCACATATACACAATTCAAATAAAAATAAATCTTGGGCCTTGCATAGCATTGGTAGAGCACGCCTTTAATCCCAGCACTCTGGAAGCAGAAGCAGGCAGGTCTCTACGAGTTGAAGGGCAGCCTGGTTGATAGAGTTCTAGGCCAGCCAGAGCAGCATCATAATTATAATAAATATAATTAATTTAATTATAAATTAAATAAACAAATGAATCTGAGAGAGGGGAAGGGGCAGGGAATGGGGCTGGCGCCTTGGGAGTCCTAGCTTGCCTGGAGAGACTCCTTTTTCTGAGCAAGTCCTAACAGGACATGCTGTCAAGAAAGCCTTCACTCTGCAGGGCCAGCAGGGGACTCGACTCAGAGTAGAGGGCAAGAGTGTTTGAAGAGGAGATGTGGGATAGGACCTACAGGCATGCCTCTGTTCTCCCAGTGTGGCTATTGTGACTAGAGAGGTCAGAGCAGCAGATGGACCGGTAAGCTGGGTGCCATGCATGGTCTTAGGAACCTCCACTGCTCCTTGGCACAGTAACTGTGTGACACAGTAACTGTGTGACATCACCAACTCTGCATCCCCCCCCCTCCCCCATTCCTGTGAGGACTATGGTGCTTAGGACAGGACTTTTGAGGCTGCAGATGTGGCTCAGTTGATGTGCTTACTGTTAGAAGTCTCAGAACCTGGGACAAATGGCTGAGGTCACTATTTAATGCATACCTAGCATGCAGGAAGCCCTGGGTTCCATCCCCAGGGAAGCCCTGGGTTCTATCCCCAGCTCCCACCTCTCATCTCCCAAGCAAGATTTCTCTGTGTGGTCCTAGCTGTCCTGGAACTCATTCTGTAGACAAGGCTAGCTTGAAACTCAGAGATCCGCCTGCCTGTGCCTCCAGGGTGCTGGGATTAAAGATGTACACCACCACACCTGCCTCAACTGCTTTAAATATTGAGGATTCTTTCCAGATTCAGTAGAGATGCCTTGAGATGGATTTTAGGTGGCCAGGCCTTTTTATAACATTGGCCCCCCTTGCACTGGGAGAAGCTGAAATAAGATCCAGAGGCAAAAACCCAGAACAAAGGACATTCCTTACATTTATAGACTCTGAGGATAATCGGCTCTGAGCTTCGACGGGAAGCGGCCTAGTGAAAATTCCAGATAGGGCCTCAGATCATAATTTAGAAAGCTAATCCTATCCTCCCACTCTACCTTTGAAATGCTGCATGCTGGGACTTTAGAAGCCTATTAAATAGGGTATAAGGCTTGGCAGATCTCTGCAAGGGCAGCATCCAGGATCTAATGAGCAGTGGATGGACTCAAGCTGGTGGCTCCGGTCTGTAATCCCTGCAATCAAAAGATGGAGGTAGGAGGACCAGAAATTCAAGGTCATCCTAAACTACATATGAGGCCAGCCTGAGCTATGTGAGACACTGTCTCAAACCAAACAACAACCAAAATCACACCCCTAGAGGCTGGAGAGATGCTGAATGGTTAAGAGCACTGGTTGCTCTTGCAGAGGATCCAGGTTCAATTCCCAGCACTCGCGTAACAGCTAACAAGTGTCTCTAACTCCAATGAAGATTTGATATCTGATACCCTCTTTTGG